AAAGAGTTTCCAGTATAGATCTTGAGTAGAAAAGCATTTATCAGTAAGTCTTTAGAATTATTCATAGATTACGAAAGCACAAAGAATAAAGTAATTATTTTTGAGAATTTATTTATCTCTATTTTCTTTGTATTTGGATGAACCGGGTATACGAATATAGACTTGGACTAATGTAAATTGATTAAGCTCTATGCAAAGGTTAATTATTAGTCTGAACAGATAAGAACTTAAAAGAACTTTTAGTATCATGTAGGATTTGTCATTAGCATGCAACGCTCAATAGTTTCGTGCGATAGCACTGCCACCTATCGCCCTTATTGTCAATATCGTTTTTCATTAATTATCATGTAATTAGAAATTAATCGCTTATTTTTCATCGGTAGATCATATTCAATAACTCTAGGCAAAACATAACCTTAGTTTTCATGAAAAAAAAATTTTTAAATGTCTTATGTTGACTTATCAATATTTATCGATATTCAAGTTTATGATACAACTAAAAATTTCAATTTGAGCCATGAAGGCTATTTTAAGTAGAACTTGTACTTTGTAAAATCACGACCTATTTACGAAAAATTCAAACTTTAAAAGAAGGTATAAGGAGAATCAAATGGTACTATTTACACTTGATTGAAAGCTTTGAGTAGTTGTAGGTCTGTGTGTTCAATATTTTCTTGTATGATATGTCCGACTATTTTTTTTTACTTAAGGAACATTGTTTAGTTTAGTTTAGGACCTGGTAAGCGCTAGTTGTGTTTCTTACTTGATAAGTTTTCTTTTAAATTTGTCATTGTGTTATTTGAATGTTGTATTCTGTCCCCGTATGGTATTGAACGGATTGTATAACTCAGTTCTACAGCTTTTTGGTTAGCCCATAGGATAAAAGTAAGGTATCCTAAGTTTTATTGATTGCATGACTGTCTAAAACTTTTATTGTTTCATGGATTATAGTAATTTGTAAAATGTTCATGATGTACGAAATGATGCATATAAACTCGATAAAATTTGAGAATTTTAAAAAGATTCGTTTGTAAACTATGAAGAGAACTCTTTCATATAAGACTCATGTTAATGTTCGAGAAAGAGTATGATTGTGAGTGTCAATCGTCATGATTAAGATCCACAGCTGATTTTAAACAGATTCTTTCTTTATATTTAGCTGCTCCCATGACTGCACTGTGTTCAGTAAATCAAACATCTGTAATCAGTCATGAATTAAGTTACAAGATGAATTTTTACAGGAAATTTTCCAAATGCCCATCTTGTGTCAAAGTCATAGTTAGGAATAACGGTGAAATGTACGATGTTTGTTCAACAAAACAACTTGATATTATAGCAGATCATAATGGTATAGTATCAATGAAATTATCATCTATCTGTCCAAAACTGGTTAAAATTACTGCTATGGCAAATGCACGGATATACAATATTTGTGCGTCAGATCAATTGACAATTGTGTCAGCGAATGGAAATAGCAAGTTCTCAATGCACTATGATCAATTGTCATCATGTCCAAAAATCGTGAATATTCTAAATGGACGTGTTAATTCAGATTTCTGGGTGTGCGCAACACAAGCAATCAATGTGAAGCTCCGTGAGAATGCAATATTATACTATAAAGGACCATTGAACCATACTGACGTAATCAATGTGAGATCAATAAAAAAGTGGATTTAAATTAGACGCTGTAAAAGTAAAAACAAATATTCTACGACTTCTTGAACTTCTATTTATCTTATAACGACACATTTCTGATTTCTTCAATTTTTCTGTTGTTTTTCTCTAGTTATCGAAGTACTACTGCAACAGCTCATAGATTGTTCTCGTGCATGCTCTCCGTTTTGCTTCGTATATGATCTTAGTGTTCCATAGACAATCACGGAGTTATACTATTGTAAACACGGAAAGTACACAGACGTTTATAAACTTCGTATTCATCGACCTGGATTCTTCTATTTTTTTTTCTTTTTGCAGAGTTCGAACATAGTTAACTAGCTTTTCCAAATAAATGTGCTGAAGATGTTGCAGTTCTTCGAGTGAAGAAGGTCCCTTACGAAATAGAATGACTTTTTTGTGTGTATTTGTTTGCAGTTCTATATTTACGTGTTCACATGTAATCAAGATGCCGTTGCCTCTCGGCAATATCTTACTGTGTAAATTATAGAAACGAGATCCTTTTTCTTCTTTGCGAATCTCATCGAATGTGAATACAATGAACGACTTTTTATTGATGAAAAAAGGCGTTAGATCTTCAGAATCCCTTCCATCGACGATTAACATAGTAGTACAATGTACCTTACTAAGAAAAAAATCTGTCTAACAAATGTTACCAATCATTGAAATTTTTCAGATTCGTTTGTTTTTTGTTTGCATGGCGACGAATACCTTACGAGCAAAATTATGTCTCGAACAGAGAATAGACACGAGAGAACAAACATATTAAGACTTACATACGAAGAAGTATTATCAAAGATAAGTAACGTACTGTTCGAGATTAAACAAAGAGTTGATTCACTGTCCAACTCAGAATGATATGTTTACAATATCATCGTGTAAAAAAAACATTTATCTACGTATTTATGGAACCTTTCAAAATAATATGAAAGGAAAACTTACAGGTAACTTTATAAAGAATGTTTCATAAGTGACAGTTCAGTTTTTTACCTCTTTGATATATTCAAGCTGGAGAAGTATTGGATATATATATGAAGAGTAACTTCGAAACTATCATTCAACAGAAATTGCACTTGCTTTGCATTAATCGTAAACAAGAGCGCCATTGGTAAAAATATTAAAAAAAAATTTATCGAAGTTATTTTTTCTTTTCTACAGACAATTTTCTACTCAGTATTTTGTGAACATCTCAGTCAATATTTAAAAAATATCGTTGAAAAAATCATATCTGATCAGCAATGCTACACTTCAATAAATTTCAATTTCACTGACATCTATTTGACAAAACAAATTATTTCACATCTCTTGACGAAACAGGTTTCAGCTCATTTTAATTTATTCTTTGTAAAAGTTATTTTGGGTGTGGATGTAGGAGTGGAGGGTGTGTGAGTGTGGGTACGGGTGAAGAAAAACCACACGCCCACACTTACATCCTTTTGTTCGGTCTTTTTTTTAAATATCATTCAAGAATTACAAGCGAAGAAACTTCATCAGCTTCAGTTTGAGGCGATATGTAACTCTCGAAAAGATGCTTTCTGTATTTTCTTACCATAACTAGTCAAAGTCTATAAAGAAAGAAACAGATATGGACAGAGGACAGATGTCTAATCATCGGAATTAAATGAATAATTTTCTAAAACTACTGATCAATCAAATGAGAAGACAAAGATTAGCAGCTGGTGCTTGAGACATTAAAAATCATTATGACAACATCCAATCATATATTCGTACATTTATAAGCACAGAGATTTATCTGAAAATATACAAACAAAACTTCAAAGAATATACTATAATATTATTTAAAAAATACATAAACCCTTGGCACTGTATAAGAGATATTTACGTAAGACTTTCCTCTGGCGCTCTGGTGATGTCCTGTCAAATGCGACACATTTGTTTTAGTGTGTAGATAGTGATGATAACCAGAGCTACTTTCCTCTGTTTGTTTTAAAATTATTCAAAAACTGCCCATGATCATTACTTTTCTTACCTTCGACAACGACAAAAAAATCATCTTTCTGTTCTGTGACATGCATGTAGTTGTTAACTGTTGATTCAAAGTAGATCTACTTCAAAATTTAAAAAAAAACATTCTTATGAAATTTCCAACTTTTTTCTTCTGAAAAAATATGTTTTAATTTCAATTCAATCCTCTTTTTTTTCTTGCACAAAATCGGTGCAATCTGTTATGCCTTACGCCCTTTTTTCGTTGTTTATCGTTACCATACTTTTTTTCTCTTCTTCAGAGATTTGACAGAGCTCAATGCACATAAAGCAAAAAAATTTCATTTGTTTTATATAGACATATGCAAAACTGTATGGGCAGCACTAAAAGTATCAACTTGTCTTACATATTTGACGTTAAATTAATTGTAGATCAAAACACTTACTGACCTTGGACAGAACTACATACAGCTGCACACAGAACAAATTTTGCCACAAATGCATTACATTTCAGATCACCAATATATATTAATTTCAGAACACATTTTCATTTTTTCTTATTTAAGATATATAATACCTATTTTAGCCTATTGACACTCAATCACTCAATAACGAAGGAAATCATGAGCTTGGAATTGTTATCTAATGAAGTATTGCTCCATATATTCGAATATCTCGATGATGTTCATCTTTTTCATGCCTTCTATGGTCTCAATTATCGTTTTGACTCTTTGTTCTTCGCTAATGGTCGAAATTATTATCTCAACTTTCGATCCGCTTATAGAAATGATTTTCAAACAATCTCTGAGAAATATATCTCATTGATTATTGATCGAATTACTTCTATTTGTTTCTCGGACGATGATGATACACCAGAGCAAATTGAATATTTTCTTAGTCGAAATATTCCTCTTCGTCTGTTCTCAAATTTGCGATCACTTTCGTTTAGTCATATTTGTTCATACAAAATAATGAAAGAAATAACTGAAGAATGTCGTTACCTTTCTCATCTTACACATCTACGTTTCACTCAATGTTGTATGAAACGAAACATTGACAATTATCGGTCGCTTGCCAACAACGTTTGGTCTCTACCTAGATTAGGTCACTGTTATTTGGATATCCATTCTTTTCCTGCTGTTCATTTTCCAGGACCAACTGTAACTTCCTTATCTCTGAAGCATCTGTCAATCGAAAATATTGATATTTGCTTTAGTGAATTGACTCAATTGATCGAACATACACCTTGCATTCAGCATTTATCTATATCAATCAATGGGCGTTCGATTGATCGAGATCTCACAATTACTATTCCGTCGATAATTTCATTGCAACTGGCTGTTCGCGATGCACCGTTTGCTTTTAGAAGACTTTTGCGATGCATGTCCAATTTACAACATTTAACAATCAACTCAGTTGATACTTATTTCGGTAATTTAAAAAACATTTTAGAACGTCGTATTGATGATTATAATGTCTACTGTTATATCTTGTCTACATATAAACTACATAAACCATCTATTTATATGAATGGACGCACATGGGAAGAGATTATTGTTAATCATTTGCCAAAATTGAAAACATTTCGATTGAAAATGAAAATTCAATATTGGTCTAGGAACAATAAAAAAGATGATATTGATACACTACTTACTTCATTTGGAAGTCACTTCTGGATCAGAGAACGTCAATGGTTTGTTCGATGTGATTGGCATCCCGAACCAACGTCATCTTACATATGTCTTTACACTTTGCCTTATGCGTTTGACCATTTTGATACTCATACGGTCCTTATTCAGTCTAAATCAACTTCCCCCAATGAAAATGATTATTGGCTCTATAATCGTGTGCACAACTTGCATTATCACTTCTCGTTAACCAATAGCTCCGCGTTGAGTCGTGCCTGTTTTCCTAACATTCATCATCTTTCCATTGAACTTCCATCTACTGACAATATATGGTTTGCACTGTCGACATTTATTCATCTGAATTCAGTTGATGTATTTATTCTTAATGATGAAGTTGAAACTTACAATCAATTACAAATATTACTTGATCGAGCACCGAATCTTTATTCATTGAAACTTATCTGTGGTAAATTCTCACTGCCAGAATTGGCATTATTTAAAATTAGTAGCGTATCGGTCCGTCGTCTAGATTTATATGGATATATTGAATATAACGATTGGCAATGGTTCAATAAGGAACAATGTCTTGCATTATCTAATTCTCCGTTGGGCATCCAATGTGAAGTTCTTCGAATTAAAATAGAAAATCCGATAGATGTGCTTGAACTTGTCTATTCGATGTCGCATCTGAGAGCATTGAATGTTCAAATTTTGAATGATCCACATAATATACCGGGTTTGGAACTACCTCAAACAGAGGATGAACTTCTTCAATTTTTTCAATCCTCTCTCGATTCTACTTGTATTCTTACAAGAAATGAATATGATCCTCGTTTTATTCAATTATGGATTCGCTAAGCATGACGTTTGATGGCTCTAATAAAACAAAATTGAATCAATTTTGTCTTTTTTCATTGTACATTTAAAGACAGATATGGATGCGGGTGTTTACTGTTTCCTCACACATATACCGACGCCCACAGCCACACCCAACACCCACTGATATATAAAAATAACATGAAGTAGACGGTCATCATCTTTTAAGAAATATGTACAATATGAACAAAGGAGAGTCGAAACTCCACGGAATAAGAATTAGATTCTGACACAGTGTCATCATACATTCTCTTAATAAACCACTAACATGTTAGAGAGATTTCTCTTTTTGGATGTGGGTGTTCTTTCTATTATCTCACACGCATACACCTACACCCACACTCACACCCACACCCACACCTATACCCACACTCACATCCAGGTGAAAATGATATCAAAATGTTGCTAAAAAATGAAAATTAAAATAGCAATGTGAAATGACTATAAAATAATGCTTTAAATTTACTTTCGTTTTATTAATACGCTAGTTGGTTTCTTCCTGTAGTAGTCATTGGATGTATGTTTTTCAAAAAGAGCACTGGAAGACATTATTCTGTCATCGTTACATGCCGTTATTTTTATGCGATTTCTCTGTTTCGACAATTGCTATAGGACTAGCTGATCTCGCGTCTAAACATTTATTTTTCTTTTTCAAGAAGGAGAAACGAGAAGGATCGTTCGTCTCTTCAAATTCTTTCCATTCTTTCAAGTACAAAACAAACAGATGTTAAGTAACGAAAACATATCTCTCATACACACACACTATAGTAAAGAAGAAAAATGAAGACATGGTCACACACTCTTGTTGATAACAAACAATACACTCGATTCATTCGTCTTCGTTATACAAATTCGGGGTTGATGCACACTGTAGAACCACACATGTTGGGACAACATTTGTTTTCACCCGAACAATCATTGTCGACATCACACATGTGTCCATCACAAAGACCCCACAGAGGATTATCCTTTTCGGAAGTAGATGATGGACATAGGCCTGATTTTTTCACATTGTCTTTCGGTACAATACAATGATTGCCACATGGTTGTTCTATACGAAAGCAACATTTTTTGCCACTTCCACATTCATCCTTGTCGGGAGAACATGTAGATTCGCATTTTTCCGGTACCATTACAAATCCATAGCCAGGGCACACCTTGTCGGCAGCAGCGGCGAAACCGATGATAACTAATAATGAAACAAGCAATGGGATGGAAGTCATGGTGCAAATAGAACAAGTTTAAAGTGATTGAAGACTGATGAAAAGAAATCGATACACACTGCTTTTATAATCGATTTATAATTAAAAAACAGCAGAACTACAGGGAGAGAAAAAGAAAAAAAAACGAAAGATAAGTATAGATATGCAACAGAAGGACATTATTCTCACAATAGAAAAATAGAGTCAATCAATCTAGGTTTAAACGTTGATCAAAGTGCAACGTATGACAAATCCATTTTTACCATCTATGAACATCTCAATAATCCTTCCAAAAACCTTTAATGTAAGATAAATCCACATGCTCACAAACTTCAAGTACTCATTGTAAAAGTTTGACGACAGAGCTGATGACAACAGAAAATCCTTTAAGGGTTTGTTATACTTTGCATTTGTATTAATTCGTCAAAAGGATTCATCATTTGTACATAATCATTCGAAAAACTTGAAAATTCTTTTCATACATTCTAAAAAGAAAGTGAGGATGAAAACACTCACCCACACATCATCTGAAGAAGGAAGAAAATTACTCTGTGTAATTTTGTCTATATACATATATATGTATTCAACTATCTAACTAACTATCTATCTATCTTATTGAGATAATTTTCATCATCATTCTTCCCATTTTCTTTCTCTTCCAGCAATTGTTTTATTGTAAGCATTGTTCGATACAGTCGTTTTAATAAAGATAATGTTCATGTTTCATATTAGGCTAGGCAATAATGTTTTAAGAAATGTTCGATGGATTCAAGATAGGTCGATTGAGAAGGAAAAGTGTTTTTGTCACGTGATACAATAGGAAGAATTTCTTCGATTATCTCTTTAATTTTTGTGACTAAAGAGGATACCGATTCCGGATTACAATCTTCCTCTTTCTTTTTGCTTTCTGCAGAACCATTTATATTTTTCTTTCTCAAACGGGAAAAACTTTCTTCAATACTGATAAGTTGACTTTGAGTGTCGTAGAAATCAGTTAAATTGTGTTCATTTGATTGATTATCACTCATTGCTCATCGTTCTATCTACATAAAAAAACCAAATAATGAACAATTAATTTACTCAATAAATAGTGCATACTGTTAGTTACTGGTACTTCATCGAGAGAGATTTATGTTACGCATTCTTGTCCTTCGCATTCAAAACTTGTTATGTCGAATTTGTTTACAGAAAATGCAGCAAATGGTCGAATGAGTACGTTCTCTTCGCCTGGACAATCGCTCACATCACTCATATACAATGCAATTCATGATTGAATAACATGATCAGTACATAAAACAGGAACTTTTCGTCCACCTACAAAATCAAGAAACATACAAGCTGCTTCAGGATATCTTGATGTCGAAAGAAAAGAGCGAGTGAGAATGCGAGCACCTGGAAAGTACTGCTCAAGATCGGTCTGATTCAAATTCATACTTCGATATATCTGAGAACATGAACGATAAAACAGATCAACCGATGGATGATGAATAAGACATGCAGCAAATATATACTCTCCAACGTTTATGGACACTTGATCATCGTGCGAACGATCGAAGATTTTGCTTTCGAATCTGAATGTTGATCCTACCAACGGGTGATTCATTGCCTCACTAGCTGCATGCTGTTACAAATGCTTTCTTCGTTTAGCAAGATGTTTACTAAGTTGTTCGAAGAATAATGTGTCAACAATATATGTTTGTATAGGGTAACATGTATCACGATTGCTAATGGCACGATCAATGTATTATTCAATTCGATCGTGATCATTTTCATTTCTAAAAACGCACGTTCTGCCGACAGAGCTTATCTTCAGTTCATTAAGTAAATCAAGAAAATAAATTTTCAGAAGCCATATTTGCATAAACTTAATATTCTCGTTTGCAACGCGATAAGCATTTGTATACTGATCAAGCCAATCGATCTTGTTCATGTTCGCGTCTAAACTAGAGTTAACTGATGAAAAGATTTCACTATTTTCTTGAGTCTCTAAATCATTCGTGAATCGATCACGAAATTCGCGTTCGTCGCATTGAAATTTGATTGATGATGTTTTTTCTACCATTTTGCTACTGTCGATCTTGAGTGTAACGAGGGTGGACGTGTGTCTGGGTGTATTATTCTCTTCTCTCACATCCACACTCACACTCACACCCACACCAACACACTCACACCGACACCCACACACCCACACCCAAAGTTCCATACGGAACCAAAGATAGTTTCGTGCGCTCTACGGAACTTAAAAAGGGTTCCGTACAACTTTCGAAAACTAAAAAAGGTTTCTTACATCGTACGGAACTTGGAAAAGGTTTCAAATTTTACAGCGAGATCGAAACCTTTTTGAGATTTCGTATGATACTTTTGATATCTTCAAAAAATATTCATAGAGCTTTGACAATTATTTTGAACCTATCTGAGGGGCGTCCAAGGACTGAAGTTTGGGAATTCTCTTAATTCCTAAAAACACCAGCTAAAAGTGGCAAATCCCTCGAAAAACTGAGAACTGATCCTCAAACACTTCACAAAACCTTGTCAGTTCCCACATCGATTCCTCCTGATGAATAAATCTCAATTGAATATGACGCCAGTTCCCAACCTCGATAACTTCTCATTTCCTCAATTCCTTCCCGTAGAAATCGACCACTGATAATTCCCCAGACAAGGACCCGAGGAAATAACTACTACTGACCGTCAATATCCATCGGGAAACCTGACACTGACATTAGCCATCATGATTTAAATGCCATAGTAAGGATCCTGACCAGGATAATTGCCAAAAACATCGAAGGACACGCCGGGAAACTGAGGAATTCTGACAGTTCCTAGGAATTCAGATAGAAACCTAGAAGGTACCTACTCTCAGATCCCCGAGAAATTGAGGAACTGGTGTAATATACGTTAGACAGAATAACTATCGCATATAGCGACAAAAGCCAGGGAACTGATGGTAGGTATCTTCTAGGTTTCTACCTGAATTTCTAGGAACTGTCAGCAGAACTGTCAGAATTCCTCAGTTTCCCAGCGTGTCCTTCAATGCTTTTGGCAATTATCCTGGTCAGGATCCTTACTATGGCATTTAAATCATGATGGCTAATGTCAGTGTTAGGTCCACAGATGAATATTGACGGTCAGTAGTAGTTATTTCCTCGGGTTCTCGTCTGAGGGATTGTCAGTGGTCGATTTTCGCAGAGAGAAATTGAGGAAATGAGAAGTTATCGAGGTTGGGAACTGGCGTCATATTCAACTGATATTTATTCATCAGGAGAAATCGGTGGGGGAACTGACAAGGTTTTGTGAGGTGTTTGAGTCAGTTCTCAGTTCCTCGAGGGATTTGCCACTTTTAGCTGATGTTTTTAGGAATTGGGAGAATTCCTAAACCTCAGTCCTTGGACACTGCTGCTCGATTATCATTCAACGTGAAAGATAAAATCCATTAATTCGAGTCGTTATCTACGATAAAGAAATCTTTTTCCATGCAAAATTGACGGCAAAATTGCCATGTAGAAATCAACGAGAAAAAACATCAACACAAGCGTTAGAACTTTTCTTGAAAACTGGCAAGCTTTCTACTAAAACAGGAGATATTGACATAATGACCAGATCATAACGGAAAAAAATCACATCACACACATTATTTATTCACTTTTCAGTGTCTTTCATTCAGTCACAGCAACAGAATCACACGAATCAGTTTCGTGTATAAAGTTAGCCTTTCTTTGAAATAGAGCCACCATATTAATTCTGCCAGGAAAATGATTACTCTTAGTATTCGATTCAAAG